GGAGGTCAAGGAGGGAGGAGGGGGGGGGGGTCATCGCCGACAGAGTTTATGATTGCGGCGGGCAGCATCCCCCACATTGATTCACCATTCGCTGCTTGTCGCCGCTACTGCCCCTCGCACTGTGCGGCAGTGCTGGCTCTCTAACTCGCCACATCCAGGCGCTCATTATAGCCTGTTGTATAGTGGACAACGCATTACACTGATGAAACCTATGTATATGCTCTGCAAAGTTTATGCGAATGAATTGCGCTGTGATTGCGCTAGGGTTTCCTCGTATCGTGGAAAGGAAACTGTTCGCTATTATTTCGCACTTACAAAGCAGCCAGCATCGTTCGCTAGGTCCGCAGTGCATTTCTACCGCTATTACGTCTCTTCTCTCTCTCTCCAAACTCCTCTCACTCTCCCTCCCCCCCCCCTCTCTCCCTCTCTCGTTCTCTCTCTCTCTCTCTCTCTCTCCTCTCTCTCTTACCCGTGAGGCATCCGAGGGTCACGTAGAGCCCTGGAAGTAAACAGACGGACAGGGTCCTGTCAGGAGAAAATAAATTTTTATTCCCGACTGTCAACCCTGCGGGCAAATACATTTACACCACCCCCGCTCCGCTCTGCTCCGCCTCGCCTCGCCCGGCGACGCCCACCTCCTCCACCCCCACCCCGGCCCGGTGCACCTCACCACCACGCCCCACAACGACCGTCGTCGAGCCCTACGAGCGGTTTGGTTCTTCTAAAATTCACAGCCTTGCAGCCAGACTCTTCTATGGCGCTTTCTAGCGTCTATTACGTTAGCCTCCTCCGTTAGGCCCTCGCCCCGCCCGCCGTCGTGGCGGGGCGAGCAGGGCCAGGAGGAGGCCGGGCGGCCGCTACAAGTTTAATAAGGGCTGGGCTGGGCTGGGCTGGGCTGGGCTCGCTCCGCGGAGCTCCGTCGGGCCGGGCCGGCGCCTCTTTTCGCCCCCTGACGCACCTCGCCCGCCTCCTTCCGCCCGCCCCCGGCTGCGCCCGCGCGAGCAGGACGGACATCGCGCTGTCTCATAGCAGCGCACACGCCCGCCGCCCACCGCGCTTTATAAAACTGGAACGAAGTAAATAATAGAGCGTGTGACGGGTCCAGGTGACAGGTGGCGGTGACGGTATGTCACACTGCGCTTTTATTTATGTGGGGCAGATTAGTTTATCTTTTATTATTTTATGGAGGTGGAGGGACGGGGGAAGGAGAGTTGGCGCGGTCATGTTGGGGACGACCGCGGGCGGACACTCTATGGTGTAGCGTGTGGGGGTAGTGGGCGCGGGAACATTTTCAGGAAATTAATGTCAGCAGTGTGTGTTGCTGCACTGCGACACATCGCCAACCTGAAATTTTGTCAGCAGAACACAATCATCATCCCTGCCGTATAGCAAACAAATAAAGAGCGACTGAACAAACGCCGAGGGGCGTAAGTAAATGCACCGCGGTATGCGCAAAAATCTAATCGGAGAGAGGGTTATTCGGCTGGCCTCCTCTCTCCGCCCCGCGCCCGCCCTCCCCGCCGTCCGTCCTGGTCCGTCCCCTCCCCTACTCAATCACTCAAGCACGGCCCGTTCGATCTGTCTCTCTCACACCGGCGCGCGGGAGGATCGAAAACGAGGATAGATGGCGTAGCGTTGCGCGGATCGAGCGCTCGCAGAGTGCATTACATTTCCTTTTCACAGCCCTAGGGCCCGCGGCCCACCGCTGCGCCCCGCCCTCCCGCACCATCCCGCCACGCCACGCCACACCACCCAACCTGGCCCCCGCCACGTTCCGCCCCTCTGGCCACCATAAGCTATGCCTCTGCTCTGTTGTTTACCTGCAACCAGGAAAAATCTGGAACCAGGCACGTTGGTGGGGAGCGAGGTAGGGAGCGTCACATAACGATGGATGTGTGTTTTTAAACTGAAACATTTTCCACTTTCACTCTGTTTTGCAGTCTACGCCTTTTTAAGCTATAGCGAGGGAGTGGGAAAAGGGCAGAGGAGGTAAAGGGGGGAGGGGGGGGGCAGGGCAGAGAGGCACGTGGCGCAGCGTGGGTCGGCAACGGGCGTCTGGTGTGAGGCTAACCGCGAGATAGAGAAGGACTGGCACCGTGGCAGCAGGGCCACGGACGGGGAAAAGGGGGGGGTGAGAGTGTCTGTCAGAAATTCATTTTTATGGTCGTCCATTCGTATGTGTCGGTGTCAGCCGTCTCTCTCACTCTCATTTCCGCGACGTCAAAGTGTCCCTCTCCTTTCCTCT